ATCTCCAAATACCTCCTGAAGCTGATTACAGGAGGCTTGCACAGACAGGGAGGATCAGTGTGTCAAACATTAGCACCATTCTGCAAACAGCTGCTGGACGCCTCAGGTACAAGGGTTGATAGGTGCTCTAAGACTGCATCTCTTGACCCCAGCTGACAGGCTGTGTGTCCTGACAACCAAAATCTTCTAATGAGAACGTGCTTCTTCACATCTCCAAAATTGCAAAGACATCCAGCTTCAGAATCTGATGTGTGCAATTTTTTTTTCTGGGACTTTATTTTTCCTAAGGAGGACTGGGTAAAATGACTTCTGGTAGGGAGGAAGTAACAGCAAGAATTGCTTCAAGAGTGATGTGCCCCTGGCCTGTCCCATCCCTGGAGCTTTGCCATAAGGATGGTGGGCCAGGGGGAAAGCCTCTCCGTTTTCCTCAGCACTCCTGATGTTCAGAGTTGGATGGAGAAGCACGTTGAAGCCAGACATGCTGAGCTCATCGGGAGTCTGAGGTCTCATTGCTCTCTACATCTGTAGATTATAAGCACTTCCGCCCCTAGAGTGGTGTTTTCCAACCCCAACTATACATTAAATCAAATTGACAATGCTGATGTTTGTGACTCCTAACAGACCAACCATAGCAGACTCTTAGTTTGGTGCATGGGCTCCCCAGGTGGTACGAATATTGCAACCAATGCTGAGAAACCACAGGTCTGTTGGGTGAGCAGAGGCAGGAGGACAAAGAACTTCGAATGTGGGATAGGTGAGAAGGGAAGGCCCGGTGAATCGTTAGCCCGACCCTCGCCTATGTCAGATGGGGAGTTAGAGGTCACAGAACAGGGTCTGCCCCCGAGTCCATGGCCGAGGTCAGTGAATGAGAAGAGCTGGGACAGAATCAAGGCTCCTGACTCTGGTCAGTGCTCTGCCTCCACTCTGCCTCTCTGCAGCTTTACCATGCTTTGGCCACTGCAGTAGAATCTGCCGCAAAAGAAGGTTGCAGCCGAAGTTTTAAGTGAAGTCAGAACCACTCTTTACCTTTCCTTCACATTTGCCCGTTAATGAGGAGATTTCACTTCTTAGCCTTGTTGGATTTTTGACAAGGATCCTTTACAAATGGCATGGCTTATGACTGACATTTTGGCCTCTGTAAGAAGAATCTGCTTGAGGTCAGAAAGGCAGGATGGAAGGTCTGGAACAGTCCCCAGGGTCCCCAAGGCCTTCCTGTTCCAGCACGCACTGACCACACACACCTCTCATCTGGGTAGCAGTGTGCACACAGGTGAGTGTGTAGGCGACACCTAGACAAAGATGCAGAGGTGGCTGCTGCTGACCATGGGAGCCACAAAGATGGTGACAGAGAAGCCATGGCAGTGCTCTGATCGGCCCGGGTGCAGATCCATGTCTGAGGTCTAGTCACTGTAATGGACTGAGTTTCCACCCCTGAGAATGGAGACAACTAAATAAAATGATTACCTCATAGTGGTTGCTCAGTTAACTACTACTTGAGGCTAGATAGCCCAGGGACCTAAGGTAAAATCGAATACCACTATCTTAAAATCGAAACAAAGTTCTAGGTTGGTGTTTACATTTCTCCTTTGGTAGCATGCAGAATACCTTCCTGAACCAAAGATATTAGGACATAGGGATGAAGGCTCTATGTAGGCACCGGCTTGACATCTACACATTCAATGAGTTGTGTAGGTTGTGTCTTCAGAAATGGGGCTCTGAGGTCAGCTTGTAGAGAGCAATCTATAGTCCTGGGCCAGTGAGTGTCATCCTTCTGAGTGAATGTCCTCTGAAATTGCAGAGCACATAACAAGTGCCTCCCCAACCTATTTCTCAAGCCCTTGACTTGGAGCAAACTTACTCTCCAAACTCAGCAGTCAGGTCTTGCCGTGCATCAACATTACCTCCTGCAGTTGTAGGAGTTTGTATCCAAAAAGATCCATTTCTTTCCCATCTCTCAAAAGAAATATATATATATATAAAAAAAAAAAAAGGAAAAGAAAGACCTTAGCTTGAGAAACCTTTGGAGAACTGGTAAGTACTGGCAGTGGCAAGGTGATCTCATCGAACAATCCAAGGGGCAAGAATTTTAATGCACCAAACGTGATGGCGGATGCCTGAAATCCCAGTACTCGGGAGGCAAGAGGCAGGTGGATCTCTGAGTTCAAGGCTAGCCTGGTCTACAGAGCAAGTTCCAGGACAGCCAGGGCTACATGGTGAGACCTGTCTTTAAAACATTAATTAATCAATAAATAAAATAAAAATGAAAACAATACACAACATATCCAAACTTATGGGATACCACGAAGGTGGTTTTAAGAGGTGAGGTCGTAGCACTAAGTCCCTACATAAAAAATTGAAGAGGTCTCATATTAGTAACTTAACAGCACACCTGAAAACTCTAGAACAAAACGAAGAAATCATACCTCAAATGGCAAGAAATAATCCAACTATTTATTGAAATCAGTAAAATAAAACAAACAAATGAAAACAATGAAAGAACAATGAAACAAAGACTTGGTTATCTGAGAAAATCAATAAGAAACGTCAGCCTTATTCAGCCTTCTCTCCAACCAGTCTGACTGAACAGCACCTAAGCAGTTAATGATCAGCTTCCCCAATAAGCAAGAAACAGTGTAAGAGGGCTATCTCTCAGCTTCCTGTCGTTAAAAGTTCTTCTTTTAACTTGTTTAGACCATCAAGAATCACTGACCCTTTTATTTGGCCACACACACCCGGTCCCCAAATTCCTGCTCATATGATTGCTATGGAATAAACTGACTCCTAATGACATTCTGCTATACTCATAATCAGTGCCTTGTTCAGCCATCATCAGAGAAGCCTCCTCCTGTATCAGATGGGAACAAATACAGAGACCCACAGCCAGACATGCAGTGAGAGACCCTGGAACAGTCAGTCCTAAGAGAGATGTCTTGATCAAATCCCTTCCCTCAGGGCTCAAGAACCAGAGGGGATGGAGGGCAAGAAGAAAACAAGGCCTTCTAAGTCAACAAGATGAATGCGCATGTGAACTCACAGAGACTGAGGCTGCACCCCAGGGCCTGCCTGGCTCTGTACCTGACAGGGCTTGTAGAGCTGAAGGAGAAAAGCACACATCCCTCAGCCAGAAGCCATCTCCAGTTGATAACTACTTGCGAATGAAAATCTAGCTTTCTTCAGTGGAGTCTCGCTAGGGACATGAACTACTCTTAAGTGCAGGCTGCATGCCCAGCAGTGATGCCCACAGAAAATGAACACCAGGGCATCTTTGGAGCTTCCTTTTCTTTTCTTTCTTTCTTTCTTTCTTTCTTTCTTTCTTTCTTTCTTTCTTTCTTTTTTTTTAAAAAAGATTTATTTATTATGTGTGGTGTTCTGCTTGCATGTATGCCTGCAGGCCAGAAGAGAGCACCAGATCTCATTACAGATGGTTGTGAGCCACCATGTGGTTGCTGGGAATTGAACTCAGGACCTCTAGAAGAGCAGCCAGTGCTCTTAACCTCTGAGCCATCTCTCCAGTCCCGCTTCCTTTTCTTATAATGCTGTGTCAGGGCATTTCCTCTTTCTAAAAATTTCTTTTCGTTTCTTAAATTTTATCTATCTATCTATCTATCTATCTATCTATCTATCTATCTATCTATCTATCTATATAAAATCTCTTTTTGCCCTACAGGTCTTTTGCATGTACATTTTGGCTTCCAGTTTAGTGTTTTAATGGGATTCCTGAGTGTGTGAATGAGGGGTCTCTGCTTCCTGTGCCTTCTGCTTGTTTTATACTATTCCAATGTGTTAGTTTTTGTTTTATCTTACTATATTATACTGTATTACTATCCCTGAGAAGCCCATTTGTTTTCAAATGAGACAGAAAGGGGGTGGATGTGGACTGAGGAGAGGTGGGCAGGAACTGGGAGGAGTAAAGGGAGGGGAAACCATAGTCAAGAAACATTATTTAAGAGAAAAAAATATTTTCAAGAAAAGGAAAGAAAGTTTAACATTTCATAAACAAATCTGCATACATAATTTCATGCAACCTGTTCCTCCAGCCAAAGGGTCTTCACTCTGGAAATCCATCTCATAAAAGCAAACCCAGGAATGGCTGGAGCAGCGTTGCTCACAGAGAGGGAAACTATGAACAGACAACTCAATAGAGGACAGTTGTGTGGGGTGTCATCTAAGAATCTAAGAGTCCACAGCCACATGCCTCACTCTGGAGGGGGGGAGGGGGGGGAGGTCCCTAAAACGATGTTAAGTGATAAAAAGCATCACATAAACTTAGAAAAAAATAGAAAATAGAGACGTCTTTGTCTAATCACAGAGAAAGTTCTGGAAGTAACCAAGCAGTCACTACTATATTCCTTAAGTGGAAGAGGTTAGAAGGCTCTTGAGCAGTGATTCTCAACCTTCCTAACGCTGCAACTCTTTAACAGTTCCAGTTGTGGTGACCCCCGACCATAAAATTCTGAAATTTCATTGCTACTTTATAACTGCATTTTTGCCTGTTATGCATTGCAATGTAAATATTCTTGGAGAGAGAGGCTTGTCAAGGGTTGAGAACCAGTGGTCTTGAGGGATTATTGGTTTTTTTCTTATGCTTTCCTAGAGGGGTTGGTGGTTTCAACTGGACGTTTTGCATTTGCCGTTAAAGAATGCTGTCCCAGTGCCCGTGTGTTTGCCTCCCTGCACACACTGCTGTAACTCCATGACCCCTCATCTTCTTAGCGCCTCACTTTCCTCCAGGTTGGGATACCACCCCTTTCCTCCTGCTCCAACCTCCGCCTGATCCAGATAAGCTTCTCCTCGGGTGGGAAATGAACATTCCAGCACAGACAGTTTCATCACATAGATGGTCATAGACAATGACATGGGATAGGGGTTGAGGATGGAACCACTGTATCGGAGCCCCCGCCAGCTGTTGGTGGGATTTCAGCTAGAGCGTGTCTTAGAAGCTGCCACTCTATGATTCTGTTCTCTTTTGGCAAGCTCATGAACATTTTCCTTCCCCATAGAACAGCCACTTTTCTGACTTTATGGACAAGCAAACTGGGTATGTCACCAAGAACCTGCTGGCAGTCCCGATTGTGATGGGAAAGGAGGTCCTTGCTGTGGTCATGGCAGTGAACAAAATCAGCGCTCCTGAGTTTTCCAAGCAGGATGAGGAGGTAATGCTAACTCAGTGTCCGACCCGGCACTCACAGGAAGTGACTTGTACAACCAAAAGAAGGGATCCCAACTGTAACTTGTTCCTCTCTGTGGCCTGTAGGTCTTTTCCAAGTACCTCGGCTTGGTTGCTGTTGCCCTAAGGCTGCAGCACACCAGCTACCTGTACAGTGTGGAGTCCCGGAGAAGCCAGGTAATGGGACAATAACAGTAGTCATTCCCTGCTCGTCTGCTCTGGCAGAGGGACCCAGAAGCAGCAACAATCAGACCCCTCTTAACCCTCATGAGGGCTTAAGCCACATGGAGCAGATCCCCAGACCTTAGTCTAGGTATCCTCACTGCCTTCTCTCCCAGCCTTCTGCCCTCCATCTGTACGTACAACTGGCTGGGCTTGTTCAGTGTAGGTTCTGATTGCCTGTGGATTCCTCACCTGTGATGTAGAGGTGATTACAGTACCTACCTCATACGGTTGGGGTGACTACTAAATTGTCACAAGTTCTCACTTAAAGTTCTCAGTCCCTGGGTCATTGTAGGAAAAGAATCATTCATTTGTGGCTAATTGCTTCCAAGAGATGGAGGGGTGAAGAGGAATATCCTCAGCCAAGATACTCAGGTCCCTCATCCGTACAGTACAGGAGTGGGCCTTGAGATGAACCTGTCTAGGGTCCCTCCCTATTCCAACTTTCCAGGTTTGGCTAACTTTGATTAGCTAAGGATGCATGGAGGAGTCATGTGACTTCCTACACATAAGGTCCAGCGGCAGCCCACTGATACTCAATCCTTTGCAAAGATTGAGAGCATTTGTTCTTTATGCTGGACTGATCGTGTGTTCTCCCCTTTCATAAACCCATGGCTTGGAAGAGGTCCTGGGTTTATGACCCATGATTACACGCCACCCCGCTTAGAGAACCCACGATGTTATTGGGGGTTCAAAACAGAACTGCAGTTTCTTGTGAGATGTGTTCATTTTTGTATATATTTTATGTTTTTTTTAATTAATGTTTTCTCTGTGTCTGTCTCTCTCCCTCTCCCTCCACTCTCTCTCTCATTCTGCTCTGTTTTCTTTTTAATGCTCACTTTCAGATCCTTATGTGGTCGGCCAATAAAGTATTCGAAGAGCTCACCGATGTTGAGCGACAGTTTCATAAAGCACTGTACACCATCAGAACATACCTCAACTGCGAGCGCTACTCCATTGGTCTTCTGGACATGACCAAGGAGAAGGTTTTCGTGTTCCATATGCCTCATCTCCCCTATGTCACCTAGAGAATGTATACCCAAATGAAACATGGTCCATTGACCGATGGATACACTGTAAATAACCAGTCATGACTGATAGCAAGCACTGGAGCCACAAAGGCATGGCACACAGGTTCATGTGAGCAGCAGGAAGTAAAGTGACTCAGGCTTAAAATTTGGCTTATTTACTCCATACCTGTATCTATCATCAGCGAGTCTCTTGCTTTGATTAATTATTAGCCTTAAATTTTAGACTAGTTTATGCTTATAATAAATGGAGCAGAAAAGACAGAATCCCAGTATCATCGACCCCACTCCCACCACCAGATTTCCTATTGTTAAAAGGTTGCACTAGTGTGGTATATACTGAGTAGCTCAGCCTTAGGAACCATGGGTATGTATAGAAAGGCTACTGGTACCTTTGTGACCCGCTGCTTTGATGAACTTGACTGTCAGCTCTAAGGGCTTTTCTGGTGGAGTCATTGGGGTCTTTCACGTACAGGATCATGTCATCTGCAAATATGGGTATGTTGACATCTTCCTTTCCTGTCTCTGTCCCTTTCCTTTCATTCCCTTGTTTTATTGTCCTAGCTAAGTGTTGCTGGAGAATTTCTCTCCAGCTCGCCGCCAAGTCTAGCCAGTCCTGGAGCCCACTTATAAAAAAAACACACAGACTCTTACATTATTTAAACTGCTTGGCCATTAGCTCAGGCCTATCATTGTCTAGCTCTCACTCTTATATTCAGCCCATTTCTATTAATCTTTACTTTGCCACATGGCTCGTGGCTTACCGGTACTTTACATCTTCCTTGTCCTAGCGGCGGCTCCAGGCGGTCTCCCTTTCCTTTCTTCTTCCTCAATTCTCCTCTCTCCTTGTCCCGCCTATACTTCCTGCCTGGTCACTGGCCAATCAGTGCTTTATTTATATAGAGCGATATCCACAGCAGCTAAGACTTCAAGCATTATGTTGAACAGGAGTGAAAAGAGTGGCCATCCTTGTCTTCTTGGTCTTAGTGGAAATACTTCTAGATTTTTCCCATTTACCGCAATGTTGGCTATAGTTTATCCTACAAGTCCTTTATTATGTTGAGATATGTTCCTTTCATTCCTAGTTCCTTCAGAGTTTTATTATGAAAGGATGTTACATTTTGTCAAAAGCTTTTTCTGCTTCTATTAAATGACCATGTGATTTCTGTACTTGAGTCCATGTATATGATGAATTACATCCAATGATTTGCACGTATTGAACTGTCTCTGAACTTCAAGCCGACTTGATCATGATTAACAATCTTTTGGATGTGTTCTTGAATTCAGTTTGCAAATATTTTATTGGAAACTTTTGCCATCTACATTTATCAGGGGAATTGACCTGTAATGTCTCTCTCTCTCTCTGTGTATCTTATTTGGATACCAGAATAATATGGTAATATTGGCTTTGCAAAATGAGTTTAGAAGCATTTCTTCCATTTTGGTTTTGTGGAATAATTTGAAAGGATTGGCGTTAGTTCTTTGCAGAGCAGTGAATCCACTTGGGCCTGTACTTTTTCTTTTAGTTGGGAGTTATTTTTTTTTATTACTGCTTGAATCTTGTTGTTTGCTATAGATCTGTTTAAATGACTGATCTCTCTTGGTTTAACTTTGATAGGTAGGTCGTACTCACCTAACTCACCCGTTTCTTTAGTTTTATTTTTTTCCTCCAAGTTTGGTAGATTATAAGTTGTTAAGGTGTGTTCTTAGGATTTTCTGAATTTCCTTGGTATTTGTTGTAATCTCCCCCCCCCTTTTCTTCTCTAGTTTTATTAACATAAGCATTCTCTCTCTCTCTCTCTCTCTCTCTCTCTCTCTCTCTCTCTCTCTCTCTCTCGCTAGTTTGGCTAACAATTTGTTGCTCCTGTTTATCTTTTGAAAGATAAACTTTTTGTTTCATTGGTTATTTGTATCTTTAAATTTTTATTTTATTAATTTCTTCCATGATTTCAATTATTTATTTTTGTACACTGCTTTGGGGTTTGACTTGTTCTTGTTTTTTCAAGGCCCTAAGGTGCACCCTTAAGCTGTCTATCTGAGAAATCTCTGGTTCTTTCAGTGTAGGCGCATACAGCTGTGGTTCCCCTTAGAACTGCTTCCACCATATCCCATATCTTCATTTTTTTTTAAATCTAAGAATTTTCTAATTTCTTTAGTGACCCATTCACACTCAGCTGCAATCTCCCTAAGTTTGCACATTTTCTAGGCATTCTCTTCCTGTTGATTTTCAGCTTTATTCCATATTGTCAGGTATAATACAAGAAGCTATTTCAGTTTTCGTATTTCCTGTTGATGAGTACTGTGGTTGTTTGAATGAACGATGTCCTTCATGGGCCCTTATATTTTAACACTTGGTCTCCAGCTGGTGGCGCTGTTTCAGGAGGTTATGGAACCTGTAGGAAGGGGAGCCTTACTGGAGGAGGTCCATCATCATGGGTGATAGTGGAAGGTTTTGAGTTTTATAGTTTTGCCCCCTCCCTGGTCTCTCTTTTTGCTGTCCATGTATGAGTGGAAATGTGATCCACCAGCTTCCTGCTCTGCCATCAAGCCATGCCTTTCCTGCTGTCATGGACTCTGTCCCTCTGAAACTATAAGCTAAAATAAAGCCTTTTTTCCTTCAGCTGCTTTTGGTCATGATATTTTACACAGCAACAGACAAGTAATCCACTTGCATTGTATCCTAAAATGTGATCTTATTTTAGAGAAAGTTCCATGGGCTGCTGAGAAGAATGTGCATTTTTTAGTGTTTAGATAGAATGTTCTGAGGACATCTATTAAGTCTATTTTTTTTTTTTTTTTTG